AGTCAACCCTGAGCTGGTGAGATTTGAACTGCTGAACTGCTGATCTAGCAGTAGCCTGCAGTGCTGCATTTAACCACTGCGCCACCTTGGCTCTTTGTGGACTTAAGGAAGACACCACCGAGGAGAAAACACTTTTTCATTTTTTTGCATCACCCATCATCATCATATTAAGAAATGGGGACCCTGAACATTGGAGGTGCAAATATTTTTATAGTAGTTTAGAGCTCTAAACAGAGATGGGATTCTACCGGTTCGGCCCGGTATGGATGTAGCTCCAAAGATCAGCTGAGAGTGAACCGGTTCACTCTGACCTTGAGGAGGGCCCGCCCATTCACCCCTGGGCTATACTCACCTATATTTCCTTGTTTTTTTAGCCCAGCTGATAGGCGCGGCAAAGTGAATTGCCGCACCTCAGCTGTCTTCCTGTTAACTGCACACGGGTGCGCAGTGTGCGTCAGGCATGTTCAAACGCGCGTCAGCGAACCGGTTGCTAAACCGGTAGGATCGCACTGCTGGCTCTAAGGTAGGAAATCTTAGGAATCTGATCGACTGGTTGGTTTGGAAAAGGTAGGTGGTCTTTTGTTGATAGGGAGTAGCTGGGGTGAATTCTATTGTTAGGCAAAACAGGCATTTCAAGAAGGAGCAGAGCTGAGACAATTCATTGTTAAGGTGATGGAATATTGAGGTCTTCAACTGATAGAGGATGGGGTTATAACTGCAAAATGAGTCATACACTAAACAAGGACTACCTGTTCAGAGACCAGAAGGGCATCTCTGTTCTTCTCTTTTGTTCTTTTGTTCTATGCCCTACATATTCAGAAGAACAGGGGGTATAATACCCCCACCGCATAGGTGTCCGGAGGGAAGTACAACAGAGGTGGATTGTTACCGGTTCGCCCAGTGGCAGTGGGAGGAGGCTTCATCCATCAGTCGCGCGATTGCATGATCGCATGTGCATGAGCGAACCTGTAGTAAAATAAATTGCAACACATCACTGGAATATAAGGGTGGGATAATTTCATTGCTGTTCCTGATATGCTGGGAACGATATAATTAAATCCTTACCCTAAACCAGGGGTCTCCAACCTTGGCAACTTTAAGCCTGGTGGACTTCAACTCCCACCAGGCTTAAAGTTGCCAAAGTTGGAGACCCCTGCCATAAACCATGGCTGTCAAACTCCCGGCCCATGGGCTGGATATACGTCACACACTGGCCATGCCCACGTCTGGTTTAGCGAAGGGGGGGAAGTCCCGATATGTCACATGACGCCACCATGATCGACGTGAGTTTGACACCCCTGCCCTAGATGTAACTCTTCCGAACTCTCCTATTTTAAAGGGCTACAATCTCTTACAGCAGGGCCTGTAAAACTATAGAGATCAGCCGTGAGGTCAGGCAGTTAGAGCTAAATGGCTCTCTTTCTCTTTCTTCCTTTCAACTAATGACTTTGTACGCTTTGTTCTGCCCATTAGAACAATCCGTTTTACATTAGATTCGTCAGTGCGGGTATTCCTTTCTTCTCTGAATCAGGAACCTGGTTTCTGGGATGTCCCCTTCAAAAACAAGCATGCCGTTTCAGACATTTCCAGCTGTGCTGTCACTTCCCACTCAGCATGCATGTCTTTTGTGCCATTAATTTACCCCTGAGTTGACCTCCCTGGAAAGAACAGCTGCAAGGCTTCGGAGGGGCTTGATACTTGCTAGAGCTAAATTAGAGCCATCTATTAAAATTAAATTATCCCAGTGGGCCATAAATTAGGGACCAGGGAGTAAAACACCCTTCTGCAATTGTTCCCTTTTAAGACCTCCATCCAATCACAGGGGCATTTTCAGTTCCTAACTGGGAGACCCCCACTTAGACAATGGGCCAGAAGAATCTGAGTTGTGGCCTGGGCATCTAAATATTTTCTGGTTCAAAATGCATGTGGCCCTTCTTTGTCCCTGTGTGTACAAATTAAATATTTTGCAAGATTAGTGCCTTAAATTCCACTTGGGGGGGGGGGGGCTGAAGAATTTTATATTTTTCTTGTCTATGGCAACGAATTATCGGAGACCATAGCAGCAGATTCCTAATGCATTGGCTGTACTAGACAAGTAAAGGTCAAGGTTCCCCTTGCACATATGTGCTAGTCGTTCCCGCCTCTAGGTGGTAGTGCTCATCTCTGTTTCAAAGCTGAAGAGCCAGCGCTTTCTGAAGATGTCTCCGTGGTCATGTGGCCAGCACGACGAAATCCTGAAGGTGCACAGAATGCTGTTACCTTCCCACCAAAGGTGGTCCCTATTTTTCTACTTGCATTTTTGCATGCTTTCGAACTGCTAGGTTGGCAGAAGCTGGGACCAGTAATGGAAGCTCACTCTGTTATGTGGCGCTGAGTATTCGAACTGCCGGCCTTTCTGATCGACAAGCTCAGCATCTTAGCCACTGAGTTAACACGTCCCTATGTATTACAAATAGCAATATGCAAATGAGTTGCCATTTTCTGGCTTCAGAAGGAAGACTGCCAGCCATGGCATGTAGTTCTTGTGCCCCTGGGCTTCTCCCTTGGCTGACAGAAGCAAGGATGCTTTCCTGAAGAAAAGTTAAAATTCCACCACTGAGGATGAGCAAAGTGGGAAGAGATGCTCATTACTATGGTAATGCTGTCACAAGAAGGGTTCCCCTCCCCATTTTTTCATATATGTAGAATTAAGCTAGAGCACAAACATTTATGATTGTTCATGTGTTACAGCACAATTTTTTTGTATATGTGGAATTAAGATACAGCACAAACATCTATGATTGTGCATGTGCTACAGCACTGCGTGAGGGACAAGGTGGCTCAGTTGCTAAAACGCTGAGCTTGTCGATCAGAAAGGTCGGCAGTTCGGAGGTTTGAATCCCTAGCGCCGCATAACAGATTGAGTTCCCGTTACTTAGCCCAGCATTGGCGAACCTAGCAGTTCGAAAGGAGGTAAAAATGCAAGTAGAAAAATAGGAACCACCTTTGGTGAGAAGGTAACAGTGTTCTGTGCGCCTTTGGCGTTTAGTCATGCCGGCCACATGACCATGGAGACGTCTTCGAACAGTGCTGGCTCTTCGACTTTGAAACGGAGATGAGCACCACCCACTAGAGTCAGTAATGACTAGCACATATGTGTGAGGGGAACCTTTACCTTTGTAAACACATAGGTGTTGCAGCACCTACCATATTGTCTAATATGCCTAATGCCTGTGAAGAGTTCTCACTTACAGTACACTATCTCCTTCATCCTCCCATTTAAGCATGCTATAATGATATCCCACCCATATTTTCTTTACATCCGGTGCACTTACTTATCAACTCATGGAGCAACCAGTTCAATCATTTTCTTGGCATCATGTCAATTACTTTAAATGCCAGATTAATTATTTTGCATTACAAAGCTTTCTGGACACTGTGATTCGGCTGCGTTTAATCGTTCTGCTGCTTACTGACCTTCCTTTTCTCCCATGCTGTGAGGTTAATTTTTATCTCCTCTGTTTCTCATCTCCTCTTTGGTCTTTTGAAAGCCAGGATGTATGTCTTTCTTTAAAAGAAATGGACATAGTGAGTCTCCAAGACAGGGCATGTCCGTCCATTCTTTCCTCTTTTGTAAATCTATACATTTTTTCTCAAAAAAATAATGTTTCAGGAGGAAAACCATTCTTAAATTTAATGGAAACCACTTTTTTTTCTCCCAAAGCAGGGCCTTTGTTCAAAGCCATTGCTCAATTAGTCAACCAGTTGGCTGGCAAAAAAAAAAAAGAAATTTGCCCTCTGTGTTTTCTGAATATGTTGCTTTTTAGCAATGTGCATATTGACAAAATGATGGGCATCGGACTGCACTGTGTATTCAGGCTGTGAAGTATACCTAGGCTGTATCTATACACGTAGCAATTACAAATCAGGGAAGTGCAGATGGGAGTCATCAGAGCTGTGGGAAGTGGGAGATAAGGTTACTCACTGACCTGATACTGTTAAGTCATCAGTATCCACGATTACTGCTGCATAGATAGAACCACATGATATGGCAGGATTTCTGTCTTGCAGAGATTCCATGCCTGTCCAAGCTGGGAGACCATGGCATCATTGACAAGCCTTGTTCTCTTCCATAGATGAAAAAGCCAGGTTGGCTCTTTGCTTCTTCTGTGTCTCTGGATTTAAAGTAGCTGGTAGGAAAGCAGTGGGAGAACAGAATGGCATCTTTCCTTTTCTTTCAAGCGGGATTTGAAGGATAGTGGATTCGTCAGAGACAAGTGGGTGTAAGAGAGCAGGGATACATCTTTGATTTCCGAACTTGGCTTTGAGTCTGCAAGAAAAGAGAACTAAAACTCTGCAAGATATACTCATAGACTACAGGCCTCCTGCTGGGCTCTGTCCCAGCTGCATTCTCTCTGGCTTTACTCTGCAAATGTTTGGTCCTCCTCCCATCAATCTTTCCTGAACTTTCCGTTCTCATCTTCTCCCACTTGCTTATCTCCCTACAGATGGCACTCCCTTGAGTGAGCTCTCCTGGTCTTCCTCTCTGGTGGTGGTGGCCGTTTCCTTCTCAGGACTCTTCACCTTCATCTTCCTCATGTTGGCCTGTCTGTGCTGCAAGAAAGGGGGCATTGGCTTCAAGGTAAGTTCAGGGGGGTCCAAATCTCTCTGGCTGCCTATGGCATAGCAAGGCATAAGACAAAGTCTTCTGCTGAGTCCATGACATTAACACAGCTTTTGCCATCCTGGAGGCTTCTGGATACATACCTGAGATTTCTGAAGCTTGTCATCTAGCTAATCTAAAAGCCACCAGGCTGGGAAAGGTTATAATAATACACCCTGTTGTTTGCAAGGAGAAGAAAATAATTCTCAAAACTGGATCATGCTTTTACTATTAAGTTCCTATCAGAATAGTCCTGAAGAAGCAGTGTCACCCAGCCTGGAATATAAAGTACAGAAAGAAATTAAGAGTCAGAGGAACAACATGGTACATTCATGTGTCAGACACGAGAAGCATGAGTCAAGCAATCTCAGCAGCAGGGGTTGCAGCAGGAGGGCATTCAGTGGGGGTAAGGAGGAGAAGTGGGCTGGGGCATCAGACTAAAGCCTTGTGGCAGGGGCTTGCTGAGAAGCTAGTCTCCGAGCACAACAGGGGATGGTTGTCTGGCAGTGTGAGAGAAATAAAAAGGCCTAATGAGCTTTTGGAAGCCAGAGGCAGAAGTCGATGAATGGGAGCATAAGAAACCATCTTATCCGGGTCAGATTCTTGCACATCTAGGTGTGATCCACAGCATTCGTCATGGGTTTCAGGCAGAGAAAAGTCTGCTACTTCCATCTTCTTTAGTAGAAGGTACCAAAGCGTACATGAGTTCCCGGTCTTTCCCTAGTGAGACAAAATGTTGTGTGAATGCAAGGTGCATTTTCACTCTTTCTAAAATGTTGTATAGAGACCGCTTAGGCCTGGCTTTGGCTTCCATGGTCATTATAGCGAAACTTTCTTTTTATACATTGAACAGTTTGGGTCAGTTATGCAGGTAGCTTTTCTAGTCCTGCTCCTGTGTGGGTTTAAAGGTCTCTTCCACTATGGAGTGAGTGGTGGTTCTCATTCAGGAAAAGTTTAAGAACTTTTAGGGAAAGCAACTTCCTGGGGTTGTACCATATTGTGCGGTGCAGACAGGAGTCCTGGAAAAAATAAGAGTGAAGAGGCACCAGTAGAGAAATATAGAGAGGTGGGAAGAGTTAATAAATTGACTTGACATAGCAAAGGGGAATTCTTGAGGGTGATAACTGGATGCAGTTCCATCAAGAGAGGATGCTCAAAGTTTCCTGCCTGCGATGTCTCTGGAGATTCTCAATCATCCAGGGTCATCGTTGTCCCAAAGGTGCTTTTTCCGAAAGGCAATTGGACTTTCTTGGTTATTTTTTTCTTTGAAAACATTTAGCTCCTCAACATTTTGAAAGGAAAGGAAAAAGTCCAGTTACCTGTTGGAAAAAGCATCTTCAGGATGTCCTGCCTGTGATCTATTTCACTTGCTTCTCTTTCAGGCAAAGGGCTCTAAGAGGAAGGTCACCTCTTTCTGTCCATCCTCTACCCCGTCACAGAATGAGTTTATGGGCTCTGTTGCCTTCATCTGGAGCTAGAGGATTTGTGCCCAATGTATGACATATTGCTCACCAGAGAGACAAGAGCCTAATACTGTGAACCAGGAGTAATTCCCTGTCCTTTCTTAGCTGAGTACTTGCTTTTTAGTCCTTAGAAAAATCAAGTTAAGTAGTTCTTATTTTAAGTTTAAAGATACAAGTACTTCAGGGGTGGGTTCCTGCCGGTATTACTACTGGCTCTGCGCCTGTGCGCATTTGCCCCTAAAAAGGTCTGCGCATGCACATATTAGAAAAGGAAAAAAATACATTATTTCAATGAAGATTGTTCTGCGCATGTGCAGAACAGAAAATCAAGATGGTGCCGCCGAGCATAGAACCTGTTCAGGTGCGCGTCCATCCAAGTTACTTCCTACTTTGCCGAACCGGTCCGAACCGGTAGAAACCCACCTCTGAAGTACTTGTTGCTTAAGTGCTTCCCAATTTGGCAAGCATCTCCCCAAGTATAGTGGGCTGCCATGTGCTCTAGAAAGACCCAAAGGAAGTGGGCAGAGGTATGATTTCAGAGGCACAGAATGTGCTGGAAAATGCTGCCCCCATTGCTGGCATTCTTGTGGAGGCTGTTGGCCAGCCATGGAGGAGGAGGAGGAGGAGCGTTCGGCATGGAGTGATAGATAGCTCTGTGCGGTCACAGTTGATAGAGGTAGCCAGGTTCCACAGTGGGGACAATGAACCAATTCAGAATCCTCCCACACTGCCTATATAGGGGCACGAAACAAGCTTGTGAGTGGGCTCTGTGCTTTCCTCTTGGAACAGCCTCGGAAAGGCAGAAGCTCGAGGGCATCCAAGCTTAAGATGCTCCCTGGGAATGCTCACCCTATCCTACCTGATTGCTGGGGCAACCTTCAGTAGGAAAAAGTTCATCCAGGTAATTAGAAGAAGCCACTGGTCTCATTCTGCAGAAGGACTGAATGAGAGCGAAGAAGGCACAGCCTTAGTGCAGGGATGGGCAGGTGGGTGGATGGAAGAGGGATGGGGGGTGCCTTGATCTCTGCCTGCAGTAGTGAGGGGAGCAGAGCACCAAGGGATGGTGCACCTAATTAACACTCTTTCTCTGGGCACTCTTGCCTAGAGCTGGAGAAGCGAATCCCGGGAGAAGAGGCTGAGGATGGTTTTGAGGTGTCTGCCTTGCACGGGGGCCAGCACAGTGCCCAAAACAGCCTGTAATGTAGAACTGGGGGACCCTGGGCAGCCCTCCCCCTGCCCCCTGACCAAGGTGAGGCTGCTTCTCCCACAGCTGTGCTTATGACGTCTTTCACCGGGGGGGGTGCAGGGGGGAGGGAGCAGAGCAGCCGCCGCTGACCACACTTTAAAAATTGGGGGGATTGACGTGGGATGGCAGGAGAAGGCTACCAGGTGGGGCGATGGGTTGTTGCTCTGCCTTTGGATCCCTTGAAGTCTGCCTACTTCCCCATGCAAAGGTGAGGCTGGGGCAGGAGCTGGAAGCAGGAGCCCTGGCTATGACCTTGCCCTGTGGACCTGCAGAGAGTCTGGGCAGGGAAGGCTGTCTGTATTTCGCTTTTGTCCTCTCTTTCAAACCTTTGTCTCCATGGAGCATCTTTTTTCTTTTGGAGAAAATTTGAAATTGGCTGTCATGAAATACATCTGAATCTTATCACCTTGGGCTTCGTCCTGAACCCTGCACTGCATTTCCCCCACATGCCTAGATCTGTGGGTAGAAGGATTTTTTTTTTCAAAAAAAAAAGGAGAAAAAAGAGTGACTGAGTGCACGGCTGTCTCTGTTACCCCCCCAGTTGTAACGGGGCATGTTTGTAGCTGGATGGGAAAGAGTGATTGTATACTTTATGTGCCTCTGTCATGGTTTGCAAATATCTCCTCCTGCTTTGGAGGTGGTTATCTGAAATGGAATTGCACCGATGGGAAAACTGTTTGTGTGAATCAGCTCTCTACATGGTTCTCTTCTTTTGCCCAGGGGCTATGAAGTAGTGCACTGAACCTTTAGGTTGCGGCAGTGATCCTTAGCCTGCCCAGAGTCTGCGTGGGATTGGCTTCAGGCCAATGGTTTGCTACTACTGAAAAGTGTACGTTCTGCCATTCCATTTCAAGCAGCTGGATCCATGTAGTAGGACTGAGTGAGGTGTATCTGTCCATTGGGCTGCGTCTGCTTTTTTCCAAGTCCACTAGGGGTATTCGTTAAACCATATTATGGGAGAAAATAGGACATAGTCCACATGTGAGGACCATAGATTCAGTTCTTCTCACAAGTGTATAACACAACTGTGTGTGCAGAGATTCTTCTGCTAGCGCTGTAGGCAGTGAAAGGACATCATTTTTCTTCCCCTTCAATGTGATTATTCACACCTTGGTTCCACGTGTGAAAGAACAGACATATGGGTTCTTTGCACCTTTTCAGGTGTATTTAAGAACAGAGTAAATTGCCATGTATTGAATTAGCCCATTGGTCCACATGGTTTGGGATTTAGTAAATACTTCAGGCAAAGGGCCATCCCCAGCCTTCCCTGCAGATAGCAAGCACTGAGTCAGGGGTTCTTTGCATGCAGAATTTGTGCTCTGTCGCTGAGCCTTTTTCTTATTTGTGTATTGCTGTGGAATATCTATAAAAGGTCATCCGTGTGTGAAAACATAACTGCTGGTGGTAGTGAGGATGATATTTCAAAGCAGCCTTTATCACCTGATGTTTGTTACACAACTTCCCCCATGTCCCAGTTACTATTGAAATAACTGGGATTTTTAGGGATTGCAATCCAACCACTGGAATGCAACAGGCTGGGGAAGGCTGCTTGAATGAGTCGAAGTTGCTTTGCATGCTTTATTGCCATAATCCTTCCATCCAGAGGAGGATTATGCATCTAGAGATGACCAAATGCATGTCTCAAACCTTCTCCTCTCCACATTCTTAAGCATTGCTCTATTGCCCCATTCTACACTTTCATTCTCCTTATCTTTTTTGCCCCAGGAATTCAGTAATGCTGACGGGGAGGATTATCCTAGTGAATTCTCAGCTCAAGGCTCACCAGCCACCCAGAATGGCCCTGAAGTTTATATTCTGCCTCTCACCGAAGTATCTTTGCCAATGTCTAGGCAACCTGGGCGCTCAGGTAATCTAGTGAAGCATTGAGTTTACTTCATTAAACTTTTTCCCCCCTTTGGATAGTTGCAGCAGTGATATGCATGCTTTGTGTGTACAGAATCATCAACAAATTTATGCTGTCCAGAGGTGTAGGGCTATAATTCCCAGGGTTCCTAAATTCATGAGCATCGTGTTCGGCAAGTCCCACAACTCAGGAGATTCCCATTTTAGCGAGAAACCTGGATGGCATCTGTTTGGGAAAGGGAGACAGTACAACTTTGAATTCTTCTGTTGCTGACAGCCTTGGAATGATCACCTAGATTTTGTGCTTCCGAAAAGAAACAAAGAGCCCAATTTCCCACAACTATCAAAAGAAATCCTCCCTTTAATTATTGTTATTATGCTGAATTGATCTGTGAGAATAACCCTGAAGAAGAGAAAGTGCACATACAAATAGCAGCTTTATCAAAAGGTAATGGGGCCATCCCTTTGAGATAGGCCAGTCATGGTGAACTTCTTTTGCCTCAGGTGCCAAAAGCACATGCATGCTATCGTGTGCGCTCGTGTGCCCAACCCCATAATTTAATGTCCCCCTGCATCATGCCCCCTGCGCATGCACACGTAACCCTCCCCTCTGCTGCCCTGCGCATACGCGCATGGCTTTCCTGGTGCCTGGGGAGAGCGAAAAACGGCCCAATATGCAAACCGGAAGTTTGGGAATGGACTTCTGGTTTGCCTGTTGGGCCGTTTCTCTGTCTCTGGAGGCTTCAGGAGGCTTCCCTAAAGCCTCCGAAGGACAAAAAACAGCTCAACATGCAAAGCGGAAGACTGCAAACAGAGAAGTCTCCAGAGGGTGAAAAACGGCTGAAAATCGGTTGAAAATCAGCTGGCCAGTGCGCACATGCATGCTGGAGCTGCCAGGGCAACGCCTCGTGTGCCCTCAGAAATGACTCCATGTGCCACCTGTGGCACACGTGCCATAGGTTTGCCATCACAGAGATAGGCCAAGCATGAATGGCAGAGTCATGAATATTATACAGTAACAGAATCTTGCAACTCTGAATGTGTCTCCCCTCCCACCCGCTTTTCTCCTAAAGAGAACAAGGGAGGGTCCAGTCTGAGATGTTCTCTCTAATTCCATTCCTGCTCTGGGCTCAGATTTTTCTTATCTGATCGTTGTCTTGGCTGTTCATCTTCCTTCTCTTCCTTAAAGTTATTCTCAAAGCCCATTATGCATGTGGATTCAATTTGATTTTTTTTAAAATGGGAGGGCAGCATTTTTGCACTTTAGGACTTGCAATACCATTTTAAAGATACAAGCTTTTGTACCGCAGTGTTCACCTCACCAAGTATTTCTATTACAATAAAAATCTTAGACTTTAAAATGCTATAGGACTCCTCTTTTTCTTCTTCTACCAAAACTCTGCATAGTCATCCTACTGCACATTCTTAATGTGTTCCTCAGCAATGTGTACATATCCTTTCATAAAAAAGATGGCATCAAACAGTGGGATGGAGGGGGACACACACATGATAGTAATGGCACTAGGGTATTAGTTCCTCTGAACTATTAAGAGCTGCATACAAATAAATAGGCAAATATGCCATTTTGGTGCTGTATAGAATGACCCAGAATGTCTAAACTTTGTATCCTCCATATGTATGGGGACTAAAGTCACAGAGGTGTCAGATATTGCCTGGACATCCTGGGAATGTAACTCAGATGCTTTTAGAGAGTACAAGCTTGTTCAAAGCCTTCCTCCTCCTCCTCCTCCTCTTCTTCTTCTTCTCCTCCTCCTCCTTCTTCTCCTTCCTTCCTTCTTCTTTCTTTCATCTTCTCCCCCCTCCTCCCCCTCCCCCTACTTCTCCATCGATCTTGACTCCCTGTGTTGCTAAGGAGAATGGAAAAGAGCAAAAAAAACCCAAAAACAATAAGAATATCCCCACCTATCTTTAGAGTTAGTTTTAACAAATAATCAGGATAGTTTTTGCTCAATATTCTTAATAGTTTTAATACACATAAAATATTAAGGACTATATTGTATCATATGCAATGGATATCATCCCTTTGAAATAATAGAAAATGCCATTCCTTCTTACATCCTCTATTCATCATCCAAGACCTTTCTCTGAGCATTTTTAATGTATTTTTTTAATGTAGTGATCTTTCTATCTTGTAAAACACAGATTTGATTTTGATCTCACAAACCCTAGTGCTTTAGGTGTCTGCTTAAAACCTTTTTTTAATACAAAATACCCCTAATGCCACCATACTCATTCTGTTGGGTCTGTCAGTTTTGAATTAACGTAATATATATTTTTTCAATGTTCTGCTTTTTACTTTAATATTTCATTGCTACAGGCTATGGGGCTGAAATAAGAAAGCCTTCTTTGGTCAGAAAACTCTCCAGATGTCTGGATTTCAATTCTCAGAATCCTGTAGCCTGCATGACCATGGCCAAAAATCTTGAAAGCTGAAGTCCATTACATATGGAGTGTGGCCAGGTTGGCGATAGCTGCTATAGTGAGATGGAAACTTTTGAGTGACGTAAAACATTTCACCAGAAAAATCAGACATTCTATATAAAATGAAAGCTTTGACCATGAAATATTGCTTGATCTGTTTTATATACACCCCTAATCTCTGTTCAGAGTTCTTAATTCGGTAGAGAAAATTATAGCTAATGTAACAAGAATTGCCTGCCATGAGCTAAAACGAGACTACATTAGGCTCATAATGGTATGTATCCAACATTCTTGGTTTATTCTCCCAAGATCCTGTTCTGCAGATGACTGCTTAGATGTCTTCTATCCTTTTGGCCTCAGACATCTTTTTTTGTATACTGCAAATCTCCAGGCTTCATATCTTCCAACCCACCTTTGTCAAGGGAATATATGAGCTTGGCTGGATTCCCCCACAACCCACTTGCAGCTGCTTGAGAGAGAATATGTTGAGGTGGATCAAATCCTCTTTTAATCATGGAATTTGGTTCCTGTAGGCCCACCTCTGCCCTATGACGTCAGTGCTTTGTTGCCATTGGAAGCAGTTGAGGAGAGAAGGATTTTTCTCTAGCATATTTTTTCCCCTTTTCTCCATTTGTTCAGAGCACCTAATGGCTTGGTTCTCGAGTCCCTTTCCTCCCTAGGTTATAGTCATGCTTTGTCACATATCTTCTCACATCTTCTCACAGGATGTATTTGCTGCCTAGGTTGCCTATTTCTATTGAATAGCTATGGGGTGAAGGTCGTGTATTCCTCCTTCCTCACATTTTACCTCAAAATCTTGTGGATTGCCCTAAAGAAAGAGAGCCCAAATCTTGCTTTAGTCATTTTAGTGCCAGGTATAAACAGAAGAGGAGAGCTAGTAATGGCAGCCCTTTCTTCAATAGGTTTTAATAACCTATTACTGCACAGCATATTTGTGGTGATATTCCAAATTTTCTCCTCTCTTTCTCTTCCCCCCTTAACTAGTATCTTCCGGATTATTCTGGTTTCGCGCATACGTATGCTGTAGTGTGAGTTGCCAATGCCATCTTGTGGGCTCAGAGTGGCAAGGCATTCTGATTTAGGGGACACAAGAATTGGTAGGGCACCTTCCCTGTGTTGCATATACCTGGAGAACAGGTGCCTGTGCAGTCAACTGCCTCCATTAGCTAGCTTTGGAGCAGGCAAAACAAGAAGTAATGGGACAGGCTTCCCGATAGGACATTTGCCCTTGATCTTTTCACCTCAGCAGAGGCTGCTGCTTGTCCTGCCTGAAGGTTTTCTCTCCCCACCACTACATGGGAGACAAAGGGCTTTTTGATCCCAGATCCCACGGGCCCCGCATTCCTTCTCATGTGAAACAACTGAGGAATCCGAGACTTATCCCACTGGGTAGGAGGGAGAGGGACGAGCCCCTTAGCCATGCGATGGCTCCGCTCTGCTCTGCCCACACACTCTGTAGCCCAGTAGAGCATTGTGTGATCCAAACGGACCCCATAAAGAATGGATCCAATGTTTAGCTCTAGCCACCGCTGCCGGGGGGTGGGGGAACGACAACAATAAAGCCTTTGCTTCTCAGTGCGATGGGAACGGTGGTGTCTGGCACTGAGGGAATGAAGGGTGGCATTGCTGCATTTGGGACATGGGAGAGCCCGCTTGGGTAGACCTTGAACAGATGCTTTCTAATGCCTGGAAGCTAAGGCAGACATCTGATTGTAGTAGAAAGCTCCTTGTTTCTTCCTGTGCTTGGGAAAAATTCTTCGGCCCCAGCTTGACTCTGCCAATGTAGCAAAGAATCGCCACGAACCTGGTTCCAGAACTTGATCTCTCCACTTTTCTCTGAGGATTTTCCTGTATCTGCACCTGCATGCAGCTGTTGTCCCAGGCCTCTTCTTCTGCAGAAAACTAGAATGAGACAGCATGGGGTCAAGCTGGCACAGCAACCGACTTATCAGAGAGAGGGTGCAGAAATTCAGATTGCTCTATGTGTTCCTTCACAGTGCAGTTGCTCAAATCCACTGACCTGGGACGCCACAGCCTGCTATACCTCAAAGAAATTGGCCATGGATGGTTTGGCAAGGTAAGCTGGGTGGATCCCCAATCTTCAATTAACACGGGAAAGATGGGGAGGAAGAGAGGACACAGAGAAAGAGCCAAGGCCACAGGGAGTGAATTAAGTAAGTTGAAAGAATAGAATAGATTTTACTCTTAGGCATAGGTGCTGCCCCTTTGAGTAGTGCTTTTGGCAGCAGATAAGTGAGACTGTGGAACAATATATATTAACTTACAGAATTAAAAAAATCGAAATGTCAATTCTGCATTAGCTCCCAGTACATAAAAGTGAGCAATTGAGTGGAAAGAACAAAAGGGTGTTATTATTCAACTCAATGAGGGGAAATTGCCAAAAGAGGAGAGGCAGAGGTTCAAAAGTAAGGATAACTCTGTAGCTACTAGATTACATCTGGCACTTCCCATTGGTCCCACGCAGCATCACTGATTTTTCCTGTATTTATTTCTGGGTGTCATAGAAAGTTCACCTGGTTTTCCATTAAATTGCCAGAGAAAGCCAGCTGAAGAACTGATAGCAAAGTTGTTTTAAGACCCCGGAGCCTAAGAGCAGGGTAAACAAGAATTTGTGGGCAGGGAGGTGGTGGGTTGGACATAGAAACCAGTGGAATAAATATTACAAAATAAATACATGAATTAAATTGCTGTGTGGAACATAAAAACTTAAGGTCAACTTATAAAGATAATTCATACTACATAGTCTGTCCTGAATCACCGTAGTTACTGAGTGAACTTGTGCTTTTGCAGAAACCTTGGGTTGTGATTGCTAGTGGAACATTAGTCGTCATACATTGGAAAACTACTGATCAAAACGTTGGCTTGGTACCATGGATGACTAATGGCTCTAATGCATGAAAGTTTCCCAGTATTGTTTAAGAATGTCCATACGTGAAAAACTAAGGGAGAGAAGGGTTAGCAAATTCCTTATTCTTGCTGGATTATCAAGTTGCAGTAAATTTCGTGATGGATCTCTGGGGGCTACTTAAGAGGATATTGATCCATTAACATAATTTTATATGACAACTATCGTGGCTCTCCCTAGTTCATAAAGTCATTATCGTCCTAAATCAGAAGTGCAAGATTCCAGACCATGGTGCCTATCACTCTCTCTCTCTCTTTCTTTCATTTTAGGTGTTCCTCGGTGAGGTAAACGCAGGGTTGAGCAGTACTCAGGTGGTGGTGAAGGAGCTTAAAGCCAGTGCCAGCGTGCAGGATCAAATGCAGTTCTTGGAAGAGGCACAACCTTACAGGTAGGTTCTCTTACGCCTTTCCATAGCAGGCTATGGGCTGTCTAGATTGCCTCAGCATTCTGACAAGATTTCTGTGGAGCTGCACTGCTAGAAGTGTTCTTTTATTTGGGGCTATTCCAGTTCCAGCCATGATCTGTATACGATATATGGGAACACAAGGCTTATGTGAATAGACACTATCAGCCTTCCCATGTTGACAGAACAGGGCTGGATCATAAGAGATGGGTGATGAAAATAACTCTAGATCAGTGTTTCTCAACCTTGGCAACTTGAAGATGTCTGGACTTCAAGTCCCAGAATTCCCCAGCCAGCGAATGCTGGCTGGGGAATTCT